CTCCAAATGGCTTTGGAGGTTTTTGCTATGCCCTGCTCAACACACATTCCTACTGGACCATCACTATGATCAGAAGCATATCTGGAAAATAGGAATCTGTAGGCAGCAGGAAAAGGCAGGTAAGATGCGGCACTGTCACAGAGTCTGAGCTTTGCTTGACCTGAATGCCTAGGATTCAGCTATGATGCGGTATTTGAGAGGCTGCAGTAAATAGGTGAATGCACATCATGGCCATGCCATTTTGACTTGCAGAAAATCTATATTTGCACATGAACTTCAGGGTGATCTCTGGTGGAGCAAGGTGTCACCCTGAAACATATTGCAATAGCAGTTTTTTTAGGTATTACTTGTAAGCGATACAGAGGTACATTAAACTTGATAGAACTTAACAGTAACCTACACATCTTGCAAAGCACACACAATGGGGAGAATTTATCAAAACTGGAGCAGAAGAATCTGGAGCAGTTGCCCGTGGCAACCAATCAGCATCGCTCTTTAGTAGGGCTGCAACAACTAATCGACATAATCGATTATTGAAAAAGTTGTCAACTTTTTCAATAATCGATTAATCGGCTTCTGATCAGTTGGTCCTGTTCACAGCTCCACACGCTGTGCACCGCACCTCCTCCCCACCTCACGCTCGCCGCTGCCAGACCCGCTCGCATCCACGCTCCACACGTCGCACCTCCTCCCCGCCCATCCACATCCACGATCGGCACAGGGACGCGGGGAGATGTAGTAAGGAGGAGCAGGTGTGGGGGGATGACAGCTGCTGATAGACAGGTCCGATCTCAGAAGCACGTTGCTGGAAGACTGCACTTTCCCACACATGGTGCTCTATAATGTATTGCTGGGATTTGTATTTCTCTATAGCTGATGGTACATTGTGCTGTATATTATACATAGGAATACAAATCCCAGCAATACATTATACACTGTATGTATAATGTATTGCTGGGATTTGTTGTACTCCTCTATAGCTGGTGATATTCTGCATTGCGCTGTATAGAGGACTACAAGTCCCAGCAATAATACATTATACAGCGCAATGCAGAATACCACCAGCTGTAGAAGAGTACAACAAATCCCAGCAATAATACATTATAAAGTGGTACAATGCTAAATACCACCAGCTATAGAGGACTACAAAACCCAGCAATAGTACATTATACAGCGCAATGCAGAATGCCGCCAGCTATTATGTACTATTGCTGGGATTTGTTGTATTCCTCTATAGCTGGCGGTATTCTGCATTGTGCTGTATAATGTGCTTTTGCTGGGTTTTGTAGTCCTCTATAACCGTTGCCATTCTGCATGCATTGCTGTATAATTTTACACTTTCCATTTCACTATATTGCACACCACACTATCTTTTTTTCTTTTTTACTTCCACCGCTCCAAGCTTGCTCCTGTGATGGACTACAACCTCAATACAAACTAGTAGTCCCATCACTGGAGCCATTTTTTAAACTTTATTTTATAGTTTATCCGATTAACTGATTAATCGAACTTAATAATCGGCTAACTAATCGATTTTGAAAATAATCGTTAGCTGCAGCTCTACTTTAGTTTGTTCAGTTAGGGTTTGAAAATGAGACAGAGAAGCTGATTGGTTGCAGTGCACAGCTGCTCCATATTTTGTCTGCTCCAGTTTTGATAAATTCCCCTCAATTCCAGCCTACTCATTTAGAATTTCTCATAACAGCTTGCTAAAAGTTGTATCAAACCACAATAACGTTCTCACATGTAAGCAGACATGACACTTGTGCAGAAATAAACCTCTAGACATTTTACTATAGCAGTAGATATTGGGGTTTGCCTCATGACTGTCTATTTTGACATTTTCAACATTAAAAACAAGAAATGAAAAGCAAAACAAAGCACCAGTGTGTAAATGATTGTTTCCCCAGAGTTGGGCTTTTATACTCAGTCACCAACTGGGCACTATGCAGATCAGAAGGCTTGAATAACACTTCACTGGCTGCAAACAGGTTCTTGGCCAATGACTCAGAGTACCAAGGGCAGAGTGCCAAGCAACCAGCATTTTCAAAAATATATCAGCAATGCCAGTCTACATATTTTTCTTATGTTGCTCTTGTAGGAAGCATGCACTAACGACAGAACAAGGATATGCATCTGAAAATTGTCATGGCATGTAATGTGTTCACAGGGCTGTCATCAAATGTGAAGATATAGCAACAGTGAATTTACTATACACACAAGCACATAATACACCAAAGTGCACCAAGAGGTACACTCCAAAGCTAGAATGCATACATGTAAAACTATCCATCCAATAACCACAAGGAAGAAATTAGATTTAGTATCAATGGGAAGCAGACATTACATCCTAGCCTCAATTTATTTCAAGCATGGCAGACTGTAAACAGAGTATGTCAATTCGTGGTTCACACTTAGAGACCCTGTCATAACAGCCTAGCCTATGTACTAAATACAGGTAGACAATCTGTACTGAATATATTTAATATATTACAGCTCCCTCTGCTGAAAATCTACCAGGAAATCTGCACTTCTGGCAGTGTCAGCCTCACACTTCCAGTCCCCAAAAATGTAATTGCAGTGCTTTTGCAGCTAGTAGAAAAATCTAATAAGAGGGCCAGTCGCTCCATAGTAAACCAGCAGCAGGCTTCTACTTCCTTCACAAAAATGACGTAGTGGATAGGCATGGAGCTGAGGATCTGACACTACTGGAAGTGCTGACTTTCTGGCACAATTGCAAGGCTGATCTCTGCTTAGCTAGGTCAAATTGCTGTAGCAGAGAGAGCAGATGTAAGTACATCGACTACAGTTTACCTGCATGCATTTGGTTCAAAGATTAATAGAAATAATAAATAGAAATAAGTGACAGGGTCTCATTTAGAAAAGTTTTCAAGAAATGTGTTTGTTCATGTCAGAGAGGTTTTAGTTCCAACACAATTCTATGAGAATGCAAAACCAGCTTGAAGCAGGTCAAATGTGGGTCCGAAGGGGCCAACTGTAGGTCAAATGCAACCGTCGAAGCTGAAAACCCTGTTCAGCTTCTAAAACTGAAGCTGTGTTTGAATATCGAACCTGTTTGCCTTTTGCAGCACCACCACAACCTGTCTGAAAATATCCCATTACCACTGAGCCAACACACCTGGGAGCAAGCGCTCTTCCCAAATTGAAATTGGTGCATGCACAACGGGTGCTCTGTCTCTAACTGATGTGGCTGTTACCTATTCCAAACCAACACATTCAAAGTACATGCGCTCCCTTTTAGCAGGAGCAAGACGTGTGCTGGACTGTAATGGGAAAGAGCTGCTTCTACAGCAAGAGCACACACTGCACAACTTCAAACCTGGAAGAGCGCTCGTTCCCGGTTGTGTTGGCACAATGTATTTTGCGTTCCGGATATTAGATAGGCCACAGGATCACTGGTAATGGGAGTTATTCAGGCAAGCTGTGGGGGTCCCGCAAAAGGGCTACAAATACGGTATGTCATTCAAATGAAGTTAAACAGTGTTTTGTACCCTATTAGGATCCATAGACTGCACAGTGATTTTAGGGGAATTTAGTTTTCAATGTGTTCAACACATCACTTAAAGGTTTATTCACCTTCAGGGCAGGTTCAAACCACATCCTGGACCAGATCTGGTCTGGAAAATGGTGTGAACTCGCCCGCAGTTTCAGTGCATTCCAGACAAAATGAGACATGCAGTATTTTTCTGATCTGGAACGGACTGCACAGGTGTGAACAGAGGCCAGAAATAGCATAGGGATACGTTAGGATGCATTTTGGGTCCGGAAACAATCTGGTCTCGTCTGGAGATGATCTGGATGTTATGTGAATGGGCCCCAAGGCACATTTCCCCCCAAATCCCACATTTATTCCAGCATCCCAAGCACATTGCACACCACTGTTCAGCTTTTAATAAAAAGATGCTCTTCTTGCATTTCATAATTGCAGGTCATGCATGGCCTATTTTTTTATCCTTGGTAGGCGAACTTCCCATCTGCTGGATGTTAGAAGCGCACCTCCAGCCAGTGTTCTAGTTCAGTCAAACAATGCGCATGCACAACGTTGATCTGAGCCATTGCTGCTACAGGGGGTGGGAGAGTATTTAATGCACAGTGTTTGAAAGAGCCAGGGCACTAGCTGGGGGTGTCCCATCATTCTTGCATGATGGGGAGGATCACCTACCTAGGACATTTTACAGACAGACCTGTGCACACCCCACAGGTATAAAATGCTAAAAGAACAAAAAACTGAAGAGTGGTGTGTAATATGCTGGAATGCATCAGAGATTTTATTGGAAATGTTACTAAAGGTGAACACGTATGTGTTATGTTGAACACCTTAAAGGATAGATTTACCTTAAACCATTATGCAGTCTAGGGGCCCTTTTTTGCAGCACCCCCAGAGCCTGTCTGCAACTCTCACATTACCAGTGATTCCGTGTCCTCCCTAAAATCAACACTGTTATTTGCCTGATGAAGGGATCAAGGTTCCGAAACGTTGCTTATACTTCTTGTTAAGCCACGTGTATCTACCATCAATAGAAAGACGTATTGAAGCATTGGACCTTGGTGTGCGGGTGACTGCCTAAAACCAAGGATGCAAAAATCATTGTGCCAGCATACCCATGAATAAGCAAGCTTCCTTGTTTGAAATTGGAACGTGTGCAGCGTGCACTTTCACTGTGGCACCATACAAAATGTCAGTCCTGGGGATCGCTTTAATTGCGGCAGCTCTTCCCCATTCCAAACCAGCATATGCGCTCTGTAAACTGGAGTACATGCGCTGGTTTGCAATGGGAAGAGCCCCTGCAATTACAGTGAGAGCACGCACACTGCGCGTGCTCCGGTGCGAAAAGTTGATCCCCAGGCCTAACATTTTCTATCAGTAAGGCTGGGACATTGCTCGGTGATCTCAGTATTATTAACAGAAAACAGCAACAAACTACTACTAAAGTGAAAGGAATAAAACATAGATTGCAATGCAGACCAGGGCCACTCACCTTGAGTCTTTTGACCACTTCATCGTTGGAGATCTTGTCGGTGATCTCCTTCACCCCGGGCGGGTAGATGATGATCTTGGTATCGGCAGGTTTCTGCTGGCTGCCAGTGAAGTCCATTCTGCCGGGCGGGGGGATTTCTCTTCCACGCTCCTCTAGCGGCCTCTATCGGTCAGAAAACAAAATGTCACACACACATACACGGCGTATGGAACAAAAACAGCCCGGAGAAATGCCGCTCGGATCCCGTACAGAACGAGCGATACTTGCGGGGCATGGGAGTCGGGATAGGCCTCAGTCGGGGTAGGGGAGGTTGCTCGCCCCGGGGGGTGGTCGAGGCCTTCACAGTAGTGAGAAGCCGGCCACAGTGGACTAGGAGGCAGCGGAGTGCACAGGACTCTGCCCGGACAGAGAGAGACGACTACACTAAGGCGGCACCGGCCTACACAGTAGGCCTCACCTCGCCTGGGCCTGCTGCTGGGACAGATAGGCCCCCAAAACACGGGGTGAACGACAAGTCTCAGCATGTCAGACAACTCAGGAGTTGGAGGGCCCCAGATTAGGTAGAGTAAGTCAACGTCACCCGGACAACTGTGGGTAGGGGCCCCAAACTGGCTGCGGGGGCCCTTGACTGTATCCTAGAGATGTAGCGCTCCCTATCCTGTGCCCGGATAAGCTTCTTACCTCCTGAGGAGGGCGAGCTCCCCCTGCATGTATCCGGCGCCCGGTGTGTCGGGGCGGCTCTCTAGAAGGGGGGGAGGAGGAGGAAGGGAGGGGGGAAGGCCTCTCTCCGCGTGCACCTAGCTCCTCTGCCTGGAACCTTCGAACGCTTCGAGCCGCACACGTGATTCCCGTACCGGACTCTGCCCCGGTCGGAAGCGGGAACGCCGGGGGTTTCGCTGAAGGAAAGAGGAGGCGGACACGCGCTTAGGCTCGCGGCCGCCACGCTCCCTCACGCCGTCTCCTGTCCTGGAGGTGCTCGCCGAGCAAAAACCGGGGCAGGAGCGGGCGGACAGCGACCCCTAGTGGTTGGCGCCAAAACGTGCCGGCGGGATGCAGGCGAGCCGGCGAAACAAACAAAACCTCTCTCACCTTGCTGACGGTCATGTGTCTGGCAGCAGAGCGGGACCTACAGAGTTCCTGGACAGAGCTGTGATGTCACTGCTGACCCTTACCGACATCGGTCACCAGTCCACTCATTACCAGTGACATTGCTGACACATGCCCTCCAGGGATAGACAGAGAATGAGAACCATATGGCAAGGCAATAAAAAAACAGTACAAGTCTGCAATACAGTCACATCTCCCCTTGTTTTTACCCTCTAAAGCCTCTACAGGTACAGAATAATACAGGGGTAGGCAGCCTTGGCACTCCAACTGTGGTAAAAACTACAAATCCCCTGCCTCTTGAAGGCATACCTGTTGCTGTCAGTGTCTGGCAATGCCTCATGGGACTTGTAGTTCCATAACACTTTTTTTAATGCTATCTGTGTCCCATTGTGGAGATTTACCTTCACTTCCTGTCCAATAGCCAAAACAGGAAGTGAGGAAATCCCTCCAAAGAGAGGGACATCCCTAGTGGTCAGTAGGGCCATCAGAAGTAGTGTCGCCATTGGATGATTTCCCATCTATTCATGTTCTGGTGACAACCCAAAATCTGTTTTTTCAGTGATAATGGTCACCAGGACAAATAGAGAGGGTGAATCTCCCCAACGAGGACACAGACAGCAATAAAAACCTAACACGTGTTGTCTTTGGTTGCACACAGGTGCATAAGGCCATAGCTTGTAAATTGCCCCGGCGGTACACAGCTGTCCATAGTAGTGAATGAGTGTAGACAGCTGGACGCTGGTATACGCTGCTAACTGCAGAAAGCCGCACGCATGCATTATACATGTAACAGTGTAAAGGGGCGTCCAGCCCATTCACTACTATGAGCGGCTGTATGCCATGGCTATGTACCCCAAGGACACAATTCACATTTTACATGTGTGTGCCATGAGACCTCAAAGCCCTGTACTCTGATTTCCACATTCCCTAATATGTTTACCTTCTCCTGGAGGGCCTGGTCACACCAGAGGCGTGTTCAGTTCCTGAGCCAAGCACTGAGTAGCTGTTCTGCAGCACTTCAATTCACTGCAGCAGTTTCACTGAACGCTTCAGCTGCACAGTGCTAAGCAAAATGGCGGAGGATAATATTTTTGACTAATAAAGACAATTTTCCAACAAATATTTGGTGTGCTCCTCCACCAAAACATTAAATTGTAGGTACCCACACTGAATTGTGATTTCCTACATCAGAGTTCAGGCACCTTTCTTCAGCGCTGCCAGGTTTGCCCACAGTTAAAATGGCCGCTGGTGCTCTCCGTCACACTCATTTTCTGCAGTCACATTCACGTCGGCTGCGAGTGCTATGTTAGCAGTGCTGAGTGCTGACTTGCAGCGGCAGTTTGTTAACACAGCACTCGCAACACCTGAGCACCTGAACACACCTCAGGTGCCCAGTGCAGCCCCATCACACAAAGGACATTTTCACTGTTTACTATTAGGCAAGTTCACACCGCCGCAGTGGTACGTGCTGAGAAAAAATACAGCGTGCATTGCAACACACCGCAGTGAATAGAACGGAATAAAAAATGTCACTTTTTAGTGATGACGTCAGCGGGGCTTAGACCACTAGAACCCAGGAAAGAAGAGGCTGCAGGGGCCGGACTAGCAGCCTAGAGGATGCCAGAGCGGTAATCAGATGGGTATAACGGCTTTAACAGTGCCCCCTAGGCAAAACAGACATTTGGGGGCAGGGGGATAGCCCCACTCAAGGCAAGTTTTATTTTTGCCTGGAGATAAGCTTTAGAGACAGTGAGGGGAATTTATCAAAACCGGAGCAGACAAAATCTGGAGCAGTTACCCATGGCAACCAATCAGCATCTCTCTTAAGTTTACTCAGGTAAGATTTTAAAACGAGACATAGAAGCTGATTGGTTGCCATGCACAACTGCTCCAGATTCTGTTTGCTCCAGTTTTTATAAATGCCCCCCACTGTAGTTAGGACTGTCCGCTGTAACATTTTTTTCCCCCTGTTAATCCTGCCAGTAACAGGGTGACAACACTGTTTTCTTGGCAGTGAAATCGTGAAACAGTGTTGTCACTCTGTGGACAGGGTTGTCACTGATAGAATTGTTCTTCAGATGGACTTTACTGGGCCCAGCATATAGCCCTCCATACAGCACTACCGCCAATAACAAAATGTCCTATGCTCCTCAGCGCCATCTAGTGCCGAGTTATAATTATATAAGGTGAAGAGTTATAAATCAGACCCTAACAGGGCTATTCACAAAAGGGTGAAGAGTGTGGAGGCCGCAGGAGAAGGGAACAATCTAGGACAGGAGTAGCCAAACTCCGGCCCTCCAGCTGTGGTGGAACTACAAAGCCCATGAGGCATTTCAAGATTCTCACAGCCACAGACATGACTCCTGGAGAGAGATGCATCATGGGATTTGTCGTTTCCCCACAGCTGGAGGGCCGGAGTTTGGCTACCCCTGATCTAGGACAACATGGAAAAGATTCTCCAATTCAGCTCACATTCCAGTTCAGCTATGTTGTCCTAGATTGTTCCCTTCTCCTGCGGCCTCCACACTCTTAGCCCTGTAGTATGCAACGAGACCAATGACACCCCAACCATATGACTTAGAGCTGGCAGTGTAAGCCCCCACGGCAGTGTTTATATAGTTTGCCCCAAGCCCTGTAATTGTCAAGTTTGCTGGACAGATTCATCCAAATGTAAATGTGGAGAAAACCATGAATAAAGGCATGGGAAATAAAATCATACATGAATCACAGATTTTTAGTAAAGTGAGGAAGGGTTACAAATCCTGACAATGTTTTTACTGCTGTCTCTGTCTTCCTGTCCCAGCGAACAGCAGCCAGAGGGGGACTGAGAGAATGCGGGGCCTAAGACAAGTTTCAAATGTGGGGCCTAAAGTCATGTGCTGCAAACCGCGGACGCGCTGAAATGTAAGTATGGTGTTGTGGCGTGTGTTGAAAGGCAAAGTCTACCATTTGCAAAAAAAAATCAATAAATGCACACGCATTAAAAAAAGGGAAAATGTGCTCCCCCTCCCCCTTTTTTCTCTTCCCTCTAGACACACACTCCTAGGACACACCCAAACCCACATGTTTGCCTGTATGGTGCACTTGAACAACATAGATTCCCCACTTTACTTGTGGACTTTACCGCCCACATCTTCCAAGTAGGGTTGCCACCTGTCTGGGATTCACCTGAACAGTCCGTTTTTTGAGTCCTGTGTCTGGGTTTGAGGCCAGCTGACACCAGGACACAAGACACTCGGTGCAGATACTGGTACTTTACGTTTTTTGACAGATGTGGCTGCATGAGGTTCCGCACTTGCTGGGGACCTCGGCAGCCATCCTGTGAGCCACGTGCACCTGTACGCAGGCGCCGGCCCGCACATCTCCTTCTCCATCTTCCTGACACCACACTGCCCGCCTCCAGACCCCTGTTGAGACACAGTACAGCCTGAAAGCCTGCATAGCCCACCCGAGAGCCCGCATAGCCCACCTGAGAGCTCACAGGTCACCTTAGAGCACACATAGCCCATCTGAGAGTCCGCATAACCCATCTGAAAGCCCACATAGCCCACCTGAGAGCCTGCATGGCCCACCTGAGAGTCTGCATAACCCATCTGAAAGCCCCATAACCCACCTGAGAGCCCGCAGAGTCTACCAGAGAGCCCGCACAGCCCTGGTAAGAGCCCGCACAGGCCACCTTAGACCCTGCAGACATCAGGGCATCACCCTGGAACAAACAGTGTGGGAAAATCTTAGCAATACATTATACAGCAGGGGTCTCAAACTCAATTCCCTCGAGGGCCACTCGACCCATTTTTTTCTCCCATGGGGGCCGCTCGCCAAATTTCATACTTTAAAATAAAATTTAACTATATGCGATATGGTACTACGGACCCCAATACGCACGCAATAAGGCCCTATTCATATCTGTAGGTTTAGGTGCGATTAGGGATTCCTGCGTCAGAAACTTGCGTTTCCTGCAGCAGGAATCCCTAAACTGACGTTTAAAAGCGGCCGCTGTCACCTATTCAAGTTAATGATCAGGTGACAGAAGTTGCATGTAAACGCCTGCACACCGCATGTAATGATATGTGATATGATTACATGCGGTTAGAAAACACTCTCCCTGAATACACATTGCGTCCAGGGAGAGTGACTGATTCCTAACCGAATGCAATCATATCACGTACCACTACATGCGGTGTGCAGGCGTTTACATGCAGCTGCTGTCACCTGATCATTAACTTGAAATAGGTGACAGCTGCCGCTTTTAAACGCCAGATTAGGGATTCCTCATGCAGGAAACGCAAGTTTCTGATGCAGGAATCCCTAATTGCACCTAAAGATACAATTGTGAATGGAGCCTAATACACTTATACTCCCCCCCCCCTTCACATAAAAAATGAAATACACAGCCCCCTCTCCTTGTTACCTTGTTGTAGCCTCACAGAAGCAACTATGCAGTCTGCTTCCGACAGAGATGCAGACCGTGTAGCTGCTCCCGCAAGTCCGGTACGCGGTCCGTGACTGTGTACCAGACTTGTGAGCTAGCTGCGGGCCACATAGTACCGGCTCGCGGGCCAGTACTTTGAGACCACTGTTATACAGCAATGCAGAATACCACCAGCTATAAAGGGCTACAAATCTCAGCAATACATTATACAGCAAAGCAGAAAGGCACCAGGTTTAGAGAACTACAAATCCCAGCAATACATTATACAGCAATGCAGAATAATATGAAGCTACCCTTACACTTTGTTGCTCTAGGGTGGCAGCCTGATGTCTCCAGGGTCTCGGGTGGGCTGTGGAAGGTCTCAGGAGGGCTGTGTGGGGTCTCAGGTGAGTTATAGAGGGTCTCAGGTAGACTGTACGGGGTCTCAGGAGGGCTGTGTGGGGTCACCAGTGGGTCCGTGGTGGCAAAAATGATAGCTCAATCGTTTGTATGTGATTTG